CACACACACACACACACACACACACACACACACACACACACACACACACACACACAAAAGCACCCTGGCAGAGAGGAGGAAGGACAGAAAAACAGGTTAAAAATGGAAAGAGATAGGAACATATGTTAGGATGAGCAAAGAGACAAGAAACATTTCCCCCAAGTTATTCACCCTTTCTGCTCTTTTTTCTTCTCCTTCTGTATCCCATTCAAATTCTTTCACCCGTTACCATTTTTTTCCTATTTCCATTCTTTCCTTCTTGCTTGTTTGATCAGATTTTCCATTTCCTCCACCCCCATCCTTATTATTTTTGAAGATTAATTTCAAAACACTCTCACTTGCTGCATTGGCAATGAGCTTGTTCTCACTCATGGCAAATCTCAGAGGACAACATTGTTTGTGATCTTAGTTTAGAAAGACTTTTGACATCATTCCAAGCATTGAATATAAATAACCATAAACAACATGCACCTTAACCAGTCTGTACCTTGCTGCAGGGAGCGATCCAGTATGCTATGGCGAGGAAAGGAAGGCCTACCGAGACTCCAAAGACAGCCAAGAATTTCACAGCTATAGACTGCTGACGTAAGCCTGAGAGATTTTCATACCACATGGTGAGCAGTTGCTGCTGACAGTTGGGATGAGCAACAAACTGTAAACAAAAAAGAAAAATTAAAAAATAAAGGTAACTGTAGCATTTCCAAAGAGCATGAGATTTCAGAAAGCAAACTGCTGTGCCTCAAACGTAGACTGCAGTATGGAGATAGACAGCTGGTTATGGTACGTTCTGCAGCCCAGCAGAGCCAAGCATGTTTTGGTTTTTGTAATCAGCCATAGCTCATAGTATAATTGTTCAGAAAATTGCAAATTAGTCTCTCTAAATATGTGCTCACTGGCAACATTTGTTCAGCTCTCAACTTCTGTTTCTCTTGTGGGGACAGACTTTGCTATACCTGATCAGACCAATGGCCCATTAATCTAGTATCCTGTCTCAGACAGTGGCCAGTGCCAAAGGAGAGCTAATGTCAGGGGTGGAATTTGAACCTTAACTCCCGGGAGGACTGCAACTTTAGCACAGCTCTATAGACTCTGCATCCCTTCCTCTTTATAATCATTACCACCATCACCATTAATAATAAGAAGAAGAAGGGACAAATCCTGAGGACTTCACCCATTTTTTATGCAGATTCTACATTGAAGCCACTAGGATATGAAGTAACCACTCTAGAATTAGGGCATACAGGCCCCTATTCAACAATCACTTAACTCCATTCACAGGCTTACGTCCATCCCTATTCAGCAAACATCTTAAGCTCACGCTTAAATGCTTTGATGAACAGGGATGGACTTTTGCATGTGCTTAAGTGGTCTGCTAAACTGGGGCCATAATGAATATATCAGCAAACCAGTTTTTATTAAAGAAAAAGGGCCATTAGCAGTTTCAAAGCCACTGTTCAGATTTCATTTTCCATGTAGCAAACAATGAGGTGAAGTAAAACTTATATTTAATCAAACCTTTGTCAAAGGCTAATGTAGAGGGCAAATTTTTTGTACAAAACAAAATTAACTACATATTAGTTTAAATGTTAAACCAGCATTAACATCTCCTTGCAGGGGCCAGGGGGAGAAATCATACATTTGGGAATATCAATTTGCTATTCAATTTGCGCTTCAAACGTGAACTGAGATGGGATTGATGCTTGAGTAAAGAGGAGCTATGAAACATTGCTATGGACTGTGACCTAGATGATAAAAAAGTTTTGCAGCTAAGTAGAATTTGTTATTCATCACTAATGTTACACTGACTACCCATAGACCCAACGAGAAGGTTTTTTCCCCCCATTTGCATCATTCTATTGCTTCAACATAGTACAAAATGTTAGGCTGATCCTTGTAATTAGCAAGTGTAAACTTTTTATCTGAGATTATCTTTAAAATAAATGGAAGAACATTACTCACGGATCTGCAAAACAGTAAATGAGATACAAAATACACAAGACTGCTCATGTACACACAGTGTACAGGGATATTTCTTATCCCAAAGTGGAGATTCTTCTTCATTCTTTCTGCACCACAGAAAAGAACATGCTAGTAGCTGATAATCCAAAGGCCAGTTTCCTAGCGGAAGAATTACAGCACCATTGGGTCTCATGGACTCATTTTATTATAGACGATTAAGAGGCTTTGGTTCCCATCTTCCCACAGAGTGATTCAATTTACAAAATGTATAATGTGACTACTTTTTAATTATGTTTCATTATGATTAAAGATAAGGATAATTAAAAGAAAAGATAAAAGGAAATATGTTATTATTGCAGTTAATTTTGTTAGTGAGGAAGGAGTTGTCCATTTGTGGGTTTTGAATGGTATTGAATAAGAGAAGATTAAAAATATTGAATATTTCTCCAGTCTTTCCAAAATTGGGAATAAAGAAAAAAGTCTGGATTTGAATGGATTTATAGTAAAATGACACACAAAAAAATGAAAAGGACAGAATGTCTAACCAGTGCTTTCATATTAACTATCTTTGTGATAACTAACACATGGGGGGGTGGGGGAATCACACTAATATTTGTTTATATAATGGAAAGTTACACTTGGTTAAAATGTGTTTTTAATTGTTTCTTTATTGCTAGTACAGATTGAAATACAATAACATGCTAATTAGGATTACTGTGAAACGGTGATTTCTGTTCGGCAAATAACAGCACTTTAATATATGCTTTTCAGTTAAAAGACAAGCTTTTGGGCCTATCTTTGGATTTACGAATACTGCTGAGTTGAGCTGAGCAAACAGTTCATAGTGAATCATTTATTTGACAAAACAAATGTTGCCTTTTTCTGTACACAAATTTTCCCTGGGGGAGTTTATAATTTTCTTTAATCCATATATTCATCTACATTTGCAAAAATAACTAAAACAAAAAATTCTTGGTCTATAAATAACTGGTCAGCTGTTCATTGTGAGCATTTCAAATTTGAGCTTAATTGGTGACTATGGCCATCTGACTATGAATTACAGGGGGTCCCCAATATACATCTCCCCCTTATCTATTGATGCTCATCAATAGGGGAACGTGTTCTGATTTACGTTGGTGATCCAAATATCTGTCGTTGGCCCGGATCAGGACCAATGTGAATTTGAACATGTTCCCCTATTGTCCAGTACAGTACTGTACTTGAGTCCGCCGGCCATGTTCAAGGCTTATTACCTATGGAGAAAGTTCTCCATGCTGATTTAGGAGATGGCAGGTGAAGGAAAGCCCAGTGTAAATGCGTTTTGGAAGTCCTAAACACCTTGAATGGCGTGGAAAACATTGATGCGTCGTGGGAAGCAGTCACTTCGCAATGTATGAATGGTGTTTGGTGCTGTGAATGGCCAGATGCTGACCACAGCTTCGTGGGATTTGATGCTGTTCCTGCTCTCGAGCAAGAAATTGGCATGGTAGTGAAGGATGTCTGCTTCGAGGAGGTAGAGGAGAATGATGTACAGGAGTTGTTGGAGTCTGACACTGAGCAACTGACAAATGAGGAACTGATTGAGCTGAACCAACAACGGATATCCGAAGAAAGCAAGGATGAGGATGACGATGATGTAGGGCAGGATGCCAGGAGTTTGATGACAAAGAATCTCTCCAGTTTCTTTGGATTGCTGAATGAGATGACGGAAATCATACAGAGTGGTGATCCTTTCCATGAACGGTCTGCCAAAGTCTCCAGGGCTCTCAATGATGCAGTTGCTTGCTACAGGGAGCTCTATCGTTCAAAGATTCACGCAGGAGAGCAGACATCAAAAAAATCTTTTAAGACTTCTGCAACCAAAAAGCCAGCCACGGAAAGGCAGCTGAAGAAAACCCAGCCGCCACCCTATCTAAGTTTAGCGTAACCGACACTGTTTTATACTGTTCTGTATTTACTGTATTAAAATGTTCTGTGTGTTTGAATGGTGTTAGTAGGGTTCTACATTATTTTATTCAATGTTTTATGTGTAAAATGTGTACTGTATAATCTGTCATTAGGAGATACACTGTTTAGGAGAAAAGAGCATTGTCATAGCGGACATGCCAGACTCATGAAAAAAATGCAGAAATTGGGCTTGTTTTTGGCTTAATTGGCTTGTGAGTTGCTTGTTGGCTAGTTTTTGGTTGGTGGTTTGTTGCTTGTTTGGCTTGTAGCTTGTTGCTTTTTTTTTTATCAGCTCCTGGCAAGCAGGGGCAAGGGTGGGGGAGAGAGAGTCAGGGGTGCACAGCAGGCCCACCACAGTCCCAGAGTGCAGGGCGGGAGGGGATCTAGTCAAATAAAGTGTTGGGGTTCTTAGGGACTGGCTTGTTTTGGCCTTGTTTTGAAATGGGATTAGCTTGATTTTTGGCTTATTGTGAAAGTCAGGGTGCTTATTTACCATGTGAAAGTTGGCAATTGTGTGTTCTAGGCGAGTGTGGTGAAGTTGTGAATGCATACCTCCTTTGTTCCATTATTTCTTATGGGGGAAAATTCCCCGGTATATATCGTTTCAGTAACCATCGCCCTTTTCAAGAACGCAACCCCTTGGGAACCACTCAAGGTAAGCGCTGACCCCCTGACTGACTGCACCCCGCATTCCCTCCCGCACCCCAATCCCAATCCCCTGCCCCAACCTGGTGAAAGTGCGTGAGGGTGAGGGAGAGCAAGCAAGGGGGGTGGGGAGTGGAGTGAGCGGGGGTGGGGCTTCAGAGAAGGGGCAGGAAAGGGGTGTGGCCTCAGGGAAGGGGCAGGGCAGGGGCAGGGCAAGGGTCTTTGTGTTTGCTCAATTAGACAGTTGGCAACCCGACCGGGCAGGCCTGTGGAAGCCCTGGCCATGCCGGAAGAGTGCGCGCAGCAGCGCAGCTGGCAAATCGCTGGGCACCAGCCAGTGCCGGCACAGCAACACCCAAGTGTCAGGTGGACCCCGTCCCCCTGGATGTGGCTTGTGTGTGCGTAGGGGCCCACTGACTGTTCTGCCCCGGGGCCCGGAATTGCTGTTGGCGGCTCTGCATGCTAGTTACCATCCCAAAGAAATGAGCAGACATTTTAATCTATTTATTGTTTCACTGTTTCTGGAAACAGCTACAATGAAAAATGAAAAAACGTGGAAAATGAGAAGAAATTGCCATAAAAACTGGATTTATTGGAATGATTTATTTTCTCCTACACAATTTAGATTGGCAATCTGCCATAAAGCCCTCACGACATTCATCTTTTTCTGACTAATATTAAAAGGAGGGAAGAATAAAATCAGAGAGGGAAGATAGCTGATTAGAATTAATTCAAGCGCTCATTTTCTGATAGTACGCTACAATTTTTCATTATGTTTGCTCCATCAGATATTAATGACATTCTCAGTGACCCTTGGCTAATGCTAACTTTCCCTCTATGTTGATCAAAATGTCATAAATTGATCTTAGATTCTCATCAAACGCTTACATTACAGATGAATTTAACTTTCCTTTCTGGGGATCAACACTGACATTAAATTAAAAGATGACACTAAAGGCTTCGCTAGTATCCTGGGCACAGAAAATAACAGAGTTCAAAACAGACCAAAGGAAATGTGTTTTTATGATAGTGAAGTTGTAGCAAATGAGGAATTGTGATGTATTACATTTAATTCTAGAAGGCCAAGTTCTGCAGAGCTTT